ATGTATTAATCCTGAAAATAGTTTTCAATATTATAATCATGCTATATAAATTGTATTTGTGCATAGTTGTATGTATCAATCAATGCATATAAATATAATATTGAAAAGTAGACTGAATGAAAATCTTGCCTTAACCTCTGCAGATATGACATTGTATTTATATGTCACCAGAAAAAGAAATTCTAAATGCGTAAATTATCAAAATATTGTTAATGATACCTTATAATTAATCGCCATAAAAACGAAAACATATATATGTTTTGAAATTTCTGCACTAGTAAAATCATGCATGGCTATTTTTGTTTATGATTGGGACAGCTTACCTTCATGATCAGACACCTCAGGAGTCGATTATCACTTAGTTTTAGAAATTCACGTCTTCTATTATCCACGGAAATTTATGGCATTAAAAGCATACGACTAGTCAGTTGGCACTTGGCAGCCATTATTGTTGATTAATAAAAGGTTGAATCACGAGATGAAGCCATGAAATCAAACCAACGCTGTTAAGATTATTTCCTAGCAAAAGGGGTATCCAAAATTAGGAGATATGCATAGCAAATAAATTAAACAGTCATAATTTTCTTTAATTTTTATTCAAAAGAAGAAAAATATAACTCCTACCTTTAAAGAGAAGCTTCTGTTGGAGTTATCGACTACTTCAGCATTAATAGGTAACGGAGACGTACTCGTGGGTCGCAGGGGCAGCGCCCCCGAACCTGTAGGCGGTTTTGGGCTTTTCAATGTATAACCGCTGTAGGATTTCTTTTAAGTTACTAATTCCTTTTTGGGCTGGGCTTAGGAATAGGAATCCTTGTAAAACTGGGTTTAATCTCTTAAACCTAGTATATAAACATACTTTTCTCTCGTTATGATAGGGAGAGCAATTCATTCATTGTAAACGAGAGAGGTGAGGCATATTGCAATAATATTGACTCAGCTGGACGTAGCCCACATTAGGTGAACCAGGGTAAATCGCGCGTATTATTTTCTTTGTTTACTGTTTGATTTGTTTTACTATTATATTTTGTTCCTGTTGTTGTCTCTATTTCGTTCAGCTTGACCCCCGCGTTTGGTGGGCTTTTTGAATAAATAAATTTTACTTATTTAAAGTTAAAAAAAAAGTTCAACAAATATACAGTAGGGATCGGGATATTGTGACTTAAATTTTGACTCTTTATGAGACGTTGATTAGTACTGATCCAACGGTAATAAGATTCACTTGTCACGTCAATTTTATGAGATTCGTTTGTGAATATATCTTTATTGTTATTCTATTTAAGTATGTAAAGTAATTGGCTATTATTAATTGATCACTTATTAACCTTATGAAATCCGAGTGAAGAATCCTTGAAGTGAAGCATTATGCATTATTTCAGAGTGTGATCCTAATTGGATAGCCTGAAATGAAATATTGTACAAGTCGGAAAGGAATCTATCAAAAAAGTTATGGCAACATGACTATCCAGGAAAGGAATCTATCACAAAAGTTATGGCAACATGACTATCCACTACATATTTCATCTGCAAGAGTCGGCAATATCAACACTAGTGGCTACAGTTTAAAGAACCCAATAAATATCAAGAACTATTTCATCATGTAGTGGTTGAATTACTGCACAAAAGCGCAGAAATGTTAGACTTGCATAACAAACTAAATTTTGCAGAAGATGATTGATTGACCATTTGTTGGGCTTGAAATTAATCTAGTGGTACAGATGCAGGGCACAATTTGCAAGATTTGTGGAGCTTGGACGTAGATGTAATGGGACATTATTGAAGGATTTCAAACAAGATTGTTATGCGGGAGGGTAGGTGATTTTGTGTTGAATTTTTGGGCATTCAAAAGGACACAGTAGTTGGTGCAGTCTAGAAAGTTGAAAATGAAATTTACCTTTAAGATTTTTTACAGATTATTCAATTAAGCTTCGGTCTTCAGGAGCTATATATGGCAGTGATCAAGAATAGACGGGCAAAAGATAAAAGATTAAACGAAGAATGGGCTCATTCATCACCGCATTTAGCGGCGCCTGGACTGAATGAATTGCTGAAGAACGGGAAACATGGGTCACCACTCCAGGCACTCACCAAAAGATAAATATTATTATATATATGAAAGAAAGAGTAAACGAACTTTTTCCCACATAAGGTTTGTCTTAATACATTTTTTTCATAAAAAAATATTTTAAAATACCACTTTCTCATTTAAAGTTTATATTTTATTGATATCTAAAATACATTTCACTTTTTTAATCGGTATTGGATGAATTACCAGAAGTCAAAGTAAAAGAGGTTTTATAGAGTAAAAACTGATGAATAGATTATAAATATGTATAGAGTTTAATATATACAACATTTAGATCAAATTACTATTCTTAAATATTTTATGATTGAAAATAACAAATAACTTAGTACAATCAGACCTACTTAATGTTACACATGTTCAGTCTAAATAAATAATATAATAAATCGGCTTCATGTGAAAACATTGAACTTGTTTTAAACAAGCATGCTCACAAGAGAACAAAACCTATAGTATAACATAATCCCTGATCAAACAAATTTCATGTGAGCATATAGTCATATTATCTTGGTAGGATTAATTGCCTATCATCAGCAGCAACTTCAATTATTCCCTTCCCCATATAAAATTAACATTAATTTATATTACATAAGACTGACATATTGCTTAGGGCAACAACCTTCTAAACTAGGACTAATCTCTTTCAGCCTAGTCTTATCAACCTTAAAGATGCCTTTCCATAAAGAAGAAATATATTATATATTATTATTGTATACATTATATACACTTTAGCCCGTACTGCTATATAGAAATTATTTTCAGAATATGGAAGCTTGACAATTGTCTAAATTAGAAGAGGTAAATAGAAACATTGAACTTAAAAAAAGTATGAAATTGTCACCATCAGTTTGGATTAATAATAGCTAGGTGTCATTTTGCGTTGTTCTTTCAACGTGCTGGCCTCATTGTCAACTTTTTTCTTTCAGTTCTTTTCATGGTTCTTTATATATAAAATCTTGTGTATTTTGATATCTTAATCCCTTAATGATGGAGGGTAGGACCAAAGGGATTATTCTATCATGTTTATATTGAATATTTAAGTGGTTTATATAAATACTCTAATTAATGGAGATATTATGGGGATTTAAGGAAAAAAAGAGTTTATGATGCATGCGTGTAGATATTGGGAAGACAAAATGTGTAAGAAACAAGATGTAATTAAAGTAATTAAACTGTTGATTTGTTCGGATTAATCTTCTGTATTAATATTTAATTTAGTTAGCCTGTAATGCTAAAAGTTTCACTCGTTATCAAAGCTAATTTCATTTGATCTGGAATGATCAATAATCTTTAGAAATTATTACATATCCCTATCACATGATTCTTTTATACTTTTATAAGTTGATTTTTTGACATTTTTAAAAGATTTTTTTATATATATATATTTTAAGGAGATTTTTGTTAATTTTGTTAATAGTTTCCAAAAAGAATAATACTACATATACAGATTTTAATACTCATCTTATATACAAACTCATATATACAAACTGACGTATTTTAATGTAATTAAATGATTTTAAATTAGAGATAAGTTAAAATATTCAAGTAAATGATATATCAAACATACAAGATTGTCACATCAATATGTAAGAAATAATTTATATAATTAGTTTGTATATGTAGTATTACTCTTCTAAGAAATGTCAGGGCTTGAGATTTAATTAGTAATCTCTTATGGCAAGATGATATTAAATTTCCTTATTATAGTCTTTTTTTTTAACTTATTAGAGTATATTTACTATAATTTGGTTTGAATTTTGTTGTGGGATAACTACACTTTATGATGACATTGCTATTCAAATTTTTTTTATATTAATCAAAATTATCATGATGATTATACTGTTTTATTACACATTTATTCAGTTACATGGCTGACAACTTTGGAAAATTTTACTGAAAATTATAGAAGTTGGAGTTTCTTCATTGGCTGCTTGTAAAGAGCATAACCTGTAAGAACACAACTTTAAAAAAAAAAAAACGTGCGACACAGAAACATTGGTGGTTGTTTAGTCATTTCGAAAATAATACTAATTTTTCATCAACATGAATTCTGTTGCTCAGTTGAATCAACAATCAACAAATTTTACACAAAAGTGATAATATTAATGCAATCCCTCTCTCTTTTTAATTTCTCATTCAAATCCTGTGATTTTGGTATATGAAGATTTCCATTTTTTGTTAAATGAAAAAGAAATTCAATTTGAAGTAAAGTTAATAATTGATGAAAATTAACTTGAACTGGAGAATCAGATTCACTTGACCTAACTTTTGAGACCAAATTTCTGTAAATTGGAGTCATGGTGGACAAATTAAATGTTGTCCATGTGCATCGAATCATAAGAACCCCACACACAGATCAAATAAAGGAGGTAGATAAACTCAATTTTGACCCACTCTTTCCCAACAAGTTCAGCTCACGGCTGAAAATTTATATATATACTCACAGAAACAGAAGCGTTAAAGAAAAAATAATTAAAGACAAATTTTTACAATTTTCAATACTAAACCTTGTGTTACTCTTAGTAAATAATGGTTAAAAAAATTTGAACGATTGCAAAAGACATGAAATTATCATCAATTTGTAAGTATATAGTCGATTTTTTTTAGAAAAACTTTTATGGCGAAGAGATTTTCATAACCTTTGTGTTTATAGATAAGTAATTCGAAATACAAGTTAAAGTGATTGAAGTGTAGATGGAATAAGAGGGAGATGGCAAAATTCTCTTAGTCATAGTCAAAAGTCTAGGACCCAGAAGCAGAATTAACAGGAAATATTAAATTTAATTAAATTAATGGACTAACAATGTAAATATCCGAACGTGACGTTAGGATTAGCTCAAATACACGTTATGATCCTCTCCATAATTCATATATAAATACAACTCAAACTTTCACTCCTTAAACACAAAATACTGAAGCTAGAATTAATTAAACTTAGAGAAAATGAAGTTTCCAATTGTTTCATTACTCATTTTGTTGTCAGCTTCATGGACAATTTCACTTCCAACTCAAGAGAGTTTTTTGCATTGCCTGAATACTAATTCTCAGATTTCTGTTCCTCTCTCAGCCTTTTGCAGCCCAAACAATTCTTCATTTTCCTCAATCCTGCAATCTTCTGCTCAAAATCTCAGGTATTTGGAGCCTTCAAAGCCGAAACCTGAGTTTATCTTCACACCTTTATATGAATCCCATGTCCAGGCAGCTGTTATTTGCTCCAGGGAGCTTGGAATTCACATGAGAGTCCGCAGCGGAGGCCATGACTATGAGGGCCTCTCTTATGTCTCAGAAATAGAAACGCCTTTTATCGTTGTAGACCTCGCGAAGCTTCGATCCATTAGCGTTGATATTCCTGATAACAGCGCCTGGATTCAGGCCGGTGCCACAATTGGTGAAGTCTACTACAGAATTTCAGAGAAAAGCAACACTCATGGCTTTCCTGCCGGTCTTTGTCCAAGTTTAGGCGTCGGGGGGCACATCACTGGAGGGGCTTATGGCTCCATGATGAGAAAATATGGCCTTGGAGCTGACAATGTCATTGATGGTCGAATCATTGATGTTAATGGCAAGATTCTCGACCGCGCAGCCATGGGAGAAGACTTATTTTGGGCCATAAGAGGAGGTGGAGGAGCAAGTTTTGGAGTCATTCTTTCCTGGAAGATAAAACTTGTTCCTGTGCCACCAATTGTAACCGTTTTTACAGTTACAAAGTCCCTGGAAGAAGGTGCCACAAAGACTCTCTACAGATGGCAACAGGTTGCTGATAAGCTTGATGAAAATCTCTTCATTAGAGTTGTCATTCAAGTGGCTTCAAGCACAGTAAAAAAAGGCCAAAGAACTGTCACAACCTCATACAACGCCTTGTTTCTCGGTGGGGCTGACAGACTTCTCCAGGTTATGCAACAGAGTTTTCCTGAATTGGGATTAACTCGAAAGGATTGTATCGAAACGAGCTGGATCAAGTCTGTGCTATACATTGGAGGCTATCCAAGCAACACACCACCAGAAGTTTTGCTTCAGGGGAAGTCTACATTCAAGAACTATTTCAAGGCCAAATCAGACTTTGTCAAACAACCAATTCCTGAAACTGCACTGGAAGGCCTATGGACAAGGCTACTTCAGGAAGATTCTCCATTGATGATATGGAACCCATATGGAGGGATGATGAGCAAAATTTCGGAATCCGAAATCCCATTTCCTCACAGGAAGGGAACCCTTTTCAAAATCCAGTATGTGAGTCTGTGGGAAGATGGAGAAAAAAATGCAGCAAGGCACATGGACTGGATCAGGAAGTTGTACAATTACATGGCTCCTTATGTGTCACAGTTTCCCAGGGAGGCTTATGTGAATTACAGGGATCTTGATTTGGGGATGAACAAGAAAAGTAACACAAGTTTTGTTGAGGCTAGTGCTTGGGGTGCCAAGTATTTTAAAGATAATTTTAACAGATTGGTGAGAGTGAAGACTAAAGTTGATCCTGATAATTTCTTTAGGCATGAGCAGAGCATTCCTCCACTTCCTGTGAAGTAATTCTAGGAAGCACTTCTAGGTTGATTGGCAGTGTAATTCTAAGTAGTTTATTTTGTATTCAATAGTTTTTTATTTTTGTAAACAGAATAAAAATGATAAAATGAATGTGTCATGGCTTGAAATGTTGTTAAGAAGATTATGTAATGCTTTCTCTACCAAGTTTGTTTGTTTCTTCTCTTTCATTAGCAGGAAAAGAAAAAATACAAGTGTGGACAGGTACCATGAATTTAGACTTATTGCTTTCTCTGTCAATCTGAAATGTGAAATTTGTTATCTTAAAAGAGAGGCTTATAATCTTTTCATATAAATCCATCAAAAGCTTTTGATTTCTCCATCCAGGGGACAGAGATATCAGTTAATTCAACAACTTTAGGTTGCAATTACTTTCAAAACAAAAATGAGATTCAAGAGGCCCTCAAATGGATAAAATAGGCTATGAACAGTTGCATTGCCACTCTGTTCCCTTTCTGTTTTTTCATACAAGATCTCACTTGAAACATATAAAGGATCAAGAGGGTCACATTAGAGCCAATCTTGCATCCTCTGAAGAAAAACACGCCGACCCACGTCAACAAATCCATCAAACACCACATAATTCGCAACAAGAAAACGTAAAAAACATGTATGTAAAGACAAGTACCAGTAACCCACACTGAAATAGCCGTGGGAGAAGAGTAATCCGTTTTTGGAAATACAAGCAACATTCTTCATGAGCCTTGGATGATGCATTGAGAAGTTACATGCTCAAATGAACCTTCTAAATTGGTCGGTATTCTTTTTCTTATTGCAACAAAATTGGTTTAGATTAAAAAAAAGGGTTAAAACATTATTGACTGCAGAGTTCTTCATTACTTAAAAATATGTATACTTTTCTTTTCTATGTTTACTTGTTTGTTCTATAGTTGATGATTGATATAATTCACGATTGATGAGCTGGTTTCAAGGTTCTTGAAAGATAAGCAAGCTGATAAAGAACAGCTTTTAATGTTGTGTTATTTAGCATATCTGGATAATGGAATATGCCGCTTTCTTGATTTATGGACAGTCTATAATATTTAAAAATACTTCTCAAAACATATAAATGTTGGATTAATTCAAAGATTTTGCCCTGCATTAGTTAGGATTCTGTTTCCACCCTCATATTCAAGTGCCCAAACACTTGCCAATTATGAGGTGCAGAATTGACCAAGGTATAATGCCAAGAACACGGGCAGAATTTGAAACCAAAATGGATAGTCTATTCAAAGGCCTAAATGCATAATTTGACTCTCGTGCTTTTAAACTTTAACAAACCGGAACTTAAAGGCATCTAAGAATACAGTGTGCTTACACGGACCAGTTGTTCCATAATAGTATAATACCAGTTCTCTGTTCAATAAGCCTCTCCTAAACCCTTAGAATTGGGAAAATCTGAAATAAAAGGAAAAGATTCCCCAGGATTACAATTATGTGACATCATCCATACCATACTAACTGATATCTTTTTCTTTTCTTTTTCATTTTATGCTAAGAAATACGTCAACCTTCTTTACGAGTTCATCGATTTTGAAACTTACTAAACTCATATTTTCCATAATGCATAAGAGTTGCAAAACACACTAGATCAGCATCAATTGGAAAATCAAGGTCACTGTGCTCTGCTTACAGGTTCAAGAGCTTTAACAGTGACTACACTGTTTCCTCTGATAACTTCCAGGAAATATGGATTTAAGGGAAAAAGTTTTTGATGAGCGTAAATATTTTCAAAATTATTAAATATCTTAAGGGCTTTTTTATACTTTTATAAGTGGATTTTTCAAAAAATATATATATTAAAGATATTTTTGGTAATTCTAAGGTTATTTAATAGCTAGTTTCTGAAAATCGCTTGGACACTGCAGACATAAGAATCTTTCAGGGAGGATAAAATTAACTTTTGTTATTATTTTTTCTTTATTAAGGTATATCATTTACTATGACTTCTTCAATTTTTTTTTTCTAGAGTCAAAATTATCATGATGATTATACTGTTTTATTGAATATTTCTTCAGTTATATGACAGCAAAATGGGAAAATTTTACTGAAAATTATTGAAGTTGGAGTCTCTTCTTTGGCTGCTTGTAAAGAGCATAAAGTGTAAGAACACTATCTTGTAAACATTTGAAAACACAGAAACAATGGTAGTTGTTGAGTCATTTCGAAATTAATATTATTTAATCAACATGAATTCTGCTGCTCAGTTGAATGGACAATTCTTCCTTTTTGAACGACTCTTTTTCTTCACTTGCATGATTCACAAGTCAATTTTTACGCAAAAGTAATAATCAATCCCTTTCTCTTTGTACCTCTTTTTGTTTTCTCATTCAAATCCTATGATTTTCGTTTATGAAGATTTCCATTGATTGTTAAGTAGAAAAGAGATTCAATTTGAAGTTAGACGTAGTTTGGGATTGATGTAATTTGTCCCTTAATCACCTATGGGTCAACTTCAGAAATAATCTATAAGGGTGTTTATTTATCTTAATTTCAAATATATTGTATCATCCATGAATTTTTGTATTTTATTAATCCAACCATATTATTCGTGAATTACATGCCTCAGACGTTTTATTCACGAATTATTCATGTATCCGAATTTTTACCAAATTTTTACAAACGTATTTTTCACAATTTATCGTATCATACCTATAAGACTCCTATACCATTTTTTTGTCATACCTGTATTTACTAACTAGGGTGAGTTTCTGTTATAGACTATAGTTTTAATCTTAGTTGTATTATTTATTTATTTTATTTGTTTAGAGCTCCCATTCAACTTTGAATTTTGGTTTTGTTATGTGTTTGATTTGAGACTATAATTGAATCTTGGCTATCTATTATGTTTGAGTCTAGAGATTATAATTTGAACCTCAGTTATATATTGTGTCATATTATTAGATCTAGTGATTATTAGTTAATTGAATATTTTGCATTTGAAATGTTATATTGATTTTAACCTGGTGGTCCATGGAAAATGCTAAAACCAAAATTGACATTACCGTATTTTTCAAAACGTATTATCGATAATATGCTGTATTAAATCTGAATATACTTGTATCGTATTTTTCTCATTTACGAATTTTATGGCTAAATTTTTACAAATGTATTTTTCACCATTTGTCGTATCATAACCGTAAAATTCTTATTCTCTTTTTTGTTGTACCCTTATTTATTAACTAGGGTGAAAAGAGAAAATAGTCATATTTGAAATTATTATTTTTTAATTAGTACAATATATTTAAATTCAAGCTTTTAAATAAAAGAATTCAAAATTAAAAAAATTAAAAATGGGACTAGAACTCGCTGACCAACAACCGCCAACAGTTACGGCCACTGTCACTAGCGAATCTACCAGCAACGAGTAAGTTGACACTGCTGGCACCATTGCGATTGCCAGCGGCAATCTATGCAGTGGTGTTGGCAATTTAGTCAAACAAGGCCGAGTTTTGCTACAGTGAGCCAGCAAAGTTTGGCTGAAACTTTGTCGACCAGTTGCAGCAAAACGCCACCTTTTTTTTTAGCAAACCTTCGGCATCACCTAACTGATCGTCAAAAGTCGATTCCAATGATGCTAGCGGTGACGTTCCACTCGCTGCTAGCGGGTTCATAGGTGATGGTGGTCGACCACTGTGGTTGGCCTGTGAGCTACTGGTCAATTTTGTTATTTTGCATTTTTACAATTTTTTATTAATGGAATTTTAAAAGTTAATTATAAAACAATAAGGATTTATGTATAATCGTTGGACATTTTTGTAATTTGACTTGTCTAAAATTGATTTTGAAATCTAAAATCTGAAAGCTATATATATAATTAATTATAATTAATTTGTTTTCCACATTCTCTCTCTATTTCTGTTTTATATATTTTGAAAGCATCAAACGCTTCGTCTTTGTGATGAAGCAAATAGAGATACATGTATCGTGAGTTATCATTAATAAAAGTGATGAAATCTTTTTTACCGCCAGAACTCATGTCAGGGTAACAAATACCTGTGTGTATGATTTCTAAAAATTCAGAACTCTTCCTGGCACCTTTCTTGGATTTGTCAGTATGCTTTCCCTTAATGCAGTCTGTACAAGTATCAAAGTCAGTAAAGTCAAGAGTTTTAAGAACTCCGACATTTACCAACCTTTTAATCTTATCAATGGAAATGTGTCATAATCTTTGATGCCACAAAAAAGAAAGTTTTCACTCATAATAGTACGTTTAATACCAGTACTAGCATGTGAAGTCATCAAACTATAAGGAACATTATTATTTAAATGAATTTTAAACAAACTGTCAACCATAGTATCATTTTCAATAATAGATGAGTTCTTAAATAAATTAAAAGAACTACCATAAAAGTTGAAAGAGTATCCACAAGGTACAAGTTTAAAAACTAAAATCAAATCCTAGAAAAACTAGGAATGTAAAAGGTTCGTTTCAAATACAAAATAAAATTAGTACATAAAACAAGTCTAAATGTTCCAACAGCTTCAACATGTGAAGGCATCCTGTTTCCTGAATAGATGCTGCATTCACTTCCCATCGGTTTCCTTTGGTCCATAAAACCCTGTATGGTATTAAAAACATGGATTGTAAAACCATAATCAATCCACCAATCATTATGAGAAATACAAATTATAGTAGATTCATAACACACAAGAGATATGATGTTACTTTTCTTGTCAAGTCAGACCTTTTTTTTAGGACAATCCTCCTTCACGTGTCCTTTCTTTTTATAGAAGAAACACTTGGTTTTGTCATTATTTCCTTTGCTCCTAATCTCATGCAACTTGTCTTTTCCTTTGCACTTCTTATTCTTGCTTGAAGTATACTTGACATTTCTTGTCACTAGATTTGCAGTTTCACTAACATCCTAAAGCAATCTCGCCTCCTCTTGAACACACATGGTCAAAAGTTTATTGATTGACCATTTAGCCTTTTGTGTGTTATAGGATATATTAAAAGGAGTATAATGAGATGAGAGTTCAAGATATAATACACTAGGAAATCATCATTAATCACCATTCGAAGGGACTTCAAC